GCTTACGTTTGCCATGGTAACAAAACCGATTCGTGCTGACGTGACTCTCCACCTACACTTGCGCGGACAAGTGGACAGACGGAGAGACTTTGACATTTTATGGGAGTCGGACGTTCTGTTGTAACTAGGGTTTTATGATTTCGCTAAATACCGATAAACCCCGAAAAATAACACAGACCCGTTTTATAATAATTGGGGGCAAAAAAAAAAACACAAAGAAAACAGTTGGGTACTGTTTCGCAATAAGAAAAGCTCAAGATTCACGCAGAAACATTTGTATCCACATAATGATAATGTGTTTACCTCCAGACTTAGTCCCTTCCCCTTCCCCCCTTGAACTGTCGGCGAGGCAGCTTCTTTCTTTGATAAGCACGTCCATTGCTCTGTTTTGTTTCCCTATCAGTACAGGAACGTTTTCTAGGTATGCGGGTGACGGGCGTGTTCCCTGGAGTTTGGGAAATTGCTTGGCGGCTTGTCTTGTTTCCTTCAACATATGCCCCGACTTTCACCGTGTTCTGTCCGACACCGGAAATTGGTGTTCAAAAACAACGAGCCTGCGGGGGAAAAAAATCCGAAGAAGCACCTTCCAATTCGAAGAAAAATGAACCCCAAATCAAAGAAACCCAGTTCATTAGATATGTACATGTTACTGAAATAAAATACCTAAATACTATTGCTCCTAACTAGCTCAACTAGTAACTAACTACGTTAATCGTTTCTTATTGTTATTGCGATTCTAAAGAAATGCGCTATTTTCTTGTCGTTTTTATGAAGACGCTTCCAACGTTCGGCTTCGTTAATAATTCTTTACTTTTTTTTTAATTCGTTAATTCAGGTATGACTGCGGCTACTGACATAGCTTGTGCTCGTCTTTTCTATTTTCTATCTCGTGTTTATCTCGTCGTGCAAATAACAGACGAAAGGTGGGCTCCCTTCCAGAAGTAAATAAACACCGTTTACTCGTTAGTTCATCAAAAAATAAATAATAATATACGGTACTCATTCCTTCTCTTAAGTTGTTACTAGGTCGTTACTTCGTTACCGAAAAGAATAGCATAGTACAAGCTACGCGGCACATATACCGCGTTACGTACAATTCTCGTTATAATGTTGTCCACAGACTAAAAAAGTAAGCTTTCGCAGACTTACCTTCTTAGCGATCCCTAGCACATCACTCGGAGTCCTTAGCAGAGCACTCTGAGTATCCAGGGATGTCAGAGCTCTTTTAGAATATGGAATGACGGCCGGAGACGGGCAGCGAGTCAAGCGCCGGCAGACGTGAAAACACGCTTATCCGCCGAACGATCTAGTCGGTGCATCGCCCTCGCCTTTTGCGGCCTTGATATGAAGGCAACCTCCGAAGCAGCGAGACGTGCATCGAGATTCGCGTGAGTGAGAATAGCCGATCTACTATCTCCGCGGACACAAAGGATACTGTATGCTGCGATGGCTTTAAAGGGGGTATCGAACCTTTCTCGAACCCCAAGTTCGACTGGTTTCGCAGTCGAACCTTCGATTTTCAAGTTCGAAAATATTTGATATGTGGCTAGCAGACTTGTACGTAACGCGTTACAATTAATGCATTACTTGTAATCGATTACATTAAGCTGTAATTTTGTAACGCTTCAATTACTTCCATTAAGAATTAACGATCCTTGTAATTGAATTACTTTTTTGCCTGTAATCGATTACAAATTTACCCGATACAATTTTCCTCTTTCTTTTTTTTTTTTTTGGAGAAAGGGGGGGGGGGGGTAAATATACTGGAGTCACTCAGCGAGCTCTGGGAAGCGGTCAATGTTTTTTTGTTTTTTTTTTATCAATTCATTAACCGCGGGACCTTGAGGATTAGTACGCCACTTAACTATGCCTTGTTTCCTCGGTGCATTTTATTTTTGTTACACCGGAGATTACGTCTGGGTATGAAAAATTACCTTACCCAGCTTCTTGTGAGTAATCTATTTAAACAGCTCTGTTTTTATTTTTTTTTATTTTTTTGACGACAGGGATTGGGTGTGTTGGCGTCACTCACTCAGCTCTAAACAAAAACAGTCAAGCCCTTCGCCTTTTTTGGAACAACTGAGCGCGAGATTTTAAGGATTATGATACCGTAATAAAAACATTTAATGAAAAGTAACGTGGGAAGCAATCGATTACTTTGGAGTAATTTTTCAATTACTCTTTGAGGCTGTAATGGTAATTGTAATTGGTTACATTTTACAGTCAAGTAATTGTAATTGCAATTGGTTACATTTTTCAGTAACGTGTACAAGTCTGGTGGCTAGTGTTGCCTGACTTCTGCGCAACACTGTAGTTTTTTTTTTTTTTTTTAAGAAATATTTATCGAAAATTTACGACCAATCTTTACGTTCATGCAGTTTGCCCAACCGCCCCCCCCCCCCCCCCCCCACCAAAAAAAAAAAAAGAAAAATTCCTTTATCTTTGTTTATTGCAAAACTAAACTAGGCGTCGCCGAAGGCTTATTCTCGGCTCAAACGTAGCACTAGTGGTGTGAATTTATAGTCCGTTGCAACCTAAGAACGAAGGGCGAGGGTAAGACGGGCCGGGGAGGAGGAAGCGGACGGAACGCTGGAGAAGAGAGGGGGAAATCTTCTTCTCTCTTTAGCGTTCCGTCTGCTTCCTCCTCCCCGGCCCGTCTTACCCTTGTCCTTCGTCTTAGGTTGCAACGGACTATAGACGCCAAAGGTTTCAGAGCAAATCTTTCCTTTATTCGAAAATTATGGCTGATCTTCTAAAAAACATTAATTCGATATTGAGGCCCCTTCGTGAGAACTGGCGCCATTCAGCTCGGTCTAACGAGGGCTCCGTCGGCGGCCTTTTTCCCGAATTTAATTTCAGAAAATCGCTTACAACTATTAAATAAGCTAACGGTTCGTTCTGAAATTTCAGAAGCTGGTTCGGATCGCGAGCTATACATTTGGGCGGAACTTGAGCGTTCGATGGTGCGTGCATAATTTTTCGAGACACCCTAAAGATAGCGTCAAACATTTATTTTTTCTGTGTCACGTAAACGGCACTATTGGTCCGTTATGGCATTTTTCTCAAATATACTACATTAGAACGGTGCTTAAGTGGCTTAGTACACGTAATTATATAAACTGCCCGACACTGCTAGCGCGAACACGGCATCGGCGCTTTTGTGCAGGGGTGTTTACGTGTCAGAGCAATGAAGAGCAAACTCAAGAAATACATCAAGATCAATATACGCACGAACAATGAATCAGCACCTACATGTGCATGTAGGCGATCAATATGAAGTGAATCCAAGTGATTAGTGCGATTTGGAATAAATAGCATTCGTTTCATTCACTGTGCTGCTCATGTATGGGTACAAAAGTAAGCTTGTTCTAGCGTTCAAAACATATATGTGCATGCTCGAAAACGTTTAGAATGGGAAAACGCCAGAAAACTCTTACCGCTCGCTAAATTCAGCTCAATAATAAAAATAAAAATGAAGCTTTTACAAAGCTTGTATTTTTTACTGTTTTCCGCTTTTTAACCACTCGCAAAGGAGGTAATTTTAGTGGCATACCAATCTCGCAGCTTCTCAATATGAGCATCATCAGAATGTCGGCACTGCTTGAAGTCCTACGTTCTTTTAGGCTGTTCTTGTCGCTTAAATTCCGCGCTTGGCGTTATACACTTGCTGTGAAACATAGGACTGGACCCAGAATACGGGAATGTTAAACATCAGTCACTGATCGAAAACAATTCTGTAACTAAGTGAATTTCACTTTTATAATATTAAAAAATTTGCCTTCGCTAGTACCCACGCCATGAGGATAATTTCTATTATACTCCGGCGAAGAGAGAAAATGCACGCGCGTTTTCCCGTAGGAATGCACAGGAGTGCCGCAAAAGTGGACTGGTTGCTGTCTGCTTCACCTTGAAACCGGAATCACCATGACACTAGCGCCAGTTGAAGCTCTAGCATATATTATATCACCTTTATGCAGCCGCCACTCCGATCCATGTTAGTTAAATGTCTCGAACTTCGCCATTTCACAGGCCGAATTCACAACCGAATGCGAAAACTCACGTTGTCCCTTTCTACTTCGTTAAAAACAATACAGACTCATGTACCTCTGGTAGACACAAACGAAAGACGGTTCCACCTCTTCGCCGCGACGCGTGCTGCGATTCAAGCCCGAAGAGTGAAACCGCGTCCAGCTGCAGCTCTTGGCCAGACGATTTCCGCTTGATTTCCCATATTTTGTTTCACCTTACTATGGACCGCAGCGGAAGTCTACAAGCCAGTTAAGCCAATCAAGAGCTCTGAACGTGTCACGTGATTACGTATCCCAGGACGCGTGACGCTCCCACTGCATTAGACTGGACTTTGCTGACTAGTACCGTCCGCTGCCATCTATCATAGGGTGCTGTTTTACTCGCTAAATCGGGTATTGCGATTTAAGCTCACGTAGTGAACGTGCGTTCAATGCAGCCCTACACCAGATCTCCGTACTCACTTTCTCCAGGGCGGTGAAAGAAGAGAGTGAAGCTGCTTTCGCCTGTTGTTGCTCTTGGATTCGTTCGCGTGTTCGAGGACATCAAGAGGAAAGTGAGAACGAAATAAACGGGAAGTTCTTGGCGCCCTCTTGAGCCCTGATCAGAAACTACAACGACCGCACAGAGCGCGGTAAGCTTAAAACGAAACTTGCCTGCGGTCCTCCGAGTTTTATTTTCCTACAGAAAAGTACTCCTGAAAATCGAACCGCCAACTCGTAGTAGCTGGTCGGTTATCCAGAACGAGTATCGCGATGCAGCGGCCTATTAATTCACAGAGGTTACATATTCATCGTGTAGGGCCCAAGCTATACTGTTTTGTTACGTTCGTCATCTGAAGGAAACCACAAGTTAGTGATTCCGACTCAATATTTGTGAGCGAAAGGCAAGCCCCACTTACATGAGTCGAGAACTGGTTCTATAGTTGCCTTGCCTAAACTCAGAATGGCATTCACTCCATGGGTATTGCATTGCCTTTTATTATTCCCTATGCATAACGGAACAAACATGTATATGTACATTTTTTTTATTGCACGGATGCCCATCACACATCCACTTCTGCCAACATTAAACGTTTAGACATTCTCTCGTTACAGCATTAGAAAGTCAGTTCGTTCGCGTCTCGCTGATTATTTCTACACTTGATACTACCGGTATCCGTATTGGCCGAGCTCAACAAAGAACTCCTCCTTGCTTTGCAATCTCCTCTCCAAGTCATCATAGTTGTAGTTCCTCAGGACGCCACCGTACTCTTCGGGTAGTCGCTCCCGGGGAATAAGTTTATGAAGCTTTTCTTAGTCGCGTCCAATGAAGTGAGTCTGAAAGGAAAAAGCGATCGATAAATAAACCATTCTGGCGCTCAGAGAGACCGTCCGAGGGTTCTAATCTGGACACTTGGCGAAAACATCGGTGAGGAATTCCACCGTCGTGATTTGCCGGCGCAAGGTCAACCGCGGCGCCGGCCAATCACGGCTGCCCGATTTCTCGCTGGCTTCTCCGCCAGGTCTTTTGAATAGAACCCCTTGTCTATTGCGACACTGCTTATTTGATACCCCCCCCCTCCCTGTGCTGCGTAAGTCGCCACTCCCGTTTTCGGACGTTCCGATCCCTTAGATTATGAGCGGGAACCGTGAGTGGAACATAAAAATAACACTTAGTGTTCTCTCTAACGGCTAGCGCTTGGAAATAAAGCTCTTGTATTTTAAACTCTTTGAAAATTATTCGGAGCATTCAAATAAATCAAATTTTGAGTGAGCGAATAAAATAAATGCTTACTCGCAATGATGATGCGGACGATGTTGATGCGGTTATTTTCTCCATAACGGAAGGTCTAGGACATTGGTCTCAATGAGAATTGCTGGATAGCGCCTCCCCGCTTGTTCGCTGCAGCGTGAGTGAAGCCACTTGACGGCCATCTTGCTCATAGACGATTTGGGGTTTTGCTAGCGTTTTGCTGCGGTTTTCAAGCGTGCTATAGACACGTTTTCTACTTGTTCCTCGTCATTCGCCGTAAAAGTTTTTTAAGACTTTGTGTAACCGTTGAGAGTTGCTGTTGTGAACACATGGAAAATTTTACGAAAGCGCAGCGCCGCAGGAAAAAGGCTCAACTCGTCAAAAGCAAGTTTCACCGGTCTCGCGGCGGAGTCAAAGCTTCATTGCCACGCAGAAGTGCTGCGTCTCTGTGCCTTCGCACGCCTGGATACCGATCAAGATTCGTTTCAGCGCCGTGTGGATGTGTTTTGCGAGTGCAATGTGCGTGAAGCCGTATGTAAAGGCACAACTCGTCGAAAGCAAGTGTCACCAGTCTCGCGGCCTGATGAAAGCTTCCTTTTGGCACGCCGAAGTGCAACGCCTCTGTGCCTTCGAACGTTTGGACACTAATCAAGATTCGTTTCGGTGCCGTGTGGATGTAATTTGCGGGTGCAATGTGCGTGAAGCCGTATGTACATACCTCTGGGCAGCGTTTAATTTTTACTCTGACTGTATTTGTAACTTGGGGCACTCGCTGTTCAGAAATGAGCTTGATCCAGTGTCCAGTGGCGACGGAAGAGTGTGGGAAGAGGGCGGCATCAGCGGCGCGTTTGTTTTGTTTTGTTTTGTTTTGTTTACTAGACGCTTATGGCAATCAAATCAGTAGTACAAAGTCTTTATTTATTTTTTGTGGCTTTTTCCTGCTACACTGCGCTTTTGAAAACTTTTCCACGTGTTCTCAATGGCAAGTCTCAACCCTTACATAGGGTCTTAAAAATCTTCTTCGACGAGTGACGACGAACGAGTAGAAAACGTGTCTTCAGGACGCTGCCGCCAGCCTCTGTAACGCTAGCAAAACCGCAAATCCTCTATGATCAAGATGACCCTCCGGTGGCTTCACTCGCGGGAGCGGGAAGCGCGATCCAGCAATTGTCATTGAGATCAGTGGTCTGGGACTGGATTAGCTTGAGTGTGAGCTAAACTGGAAAGGTTCAATAAACCTTCTTGTGGTACTTAAAGGGATTGTCCGGTCAAATTTTGTATTCGAGAAAACAATTGAATATCATTGTTATTGCTTCGAGACGCATTGTACGTGCAATATCTGAGTTTTATATGGCCCATTGCATGAATAATTAAATTTATACTGCTCCAGTCACATCCGAGCGTAAACGCTGCTTTCGTTGGCAACATTGAAGCTCAGACGTCACAGAATGCAAAGCGAGCTTTTTGTCTCGTCGTTCGCCTGCGAGTGAACGCCGCGGCGAGCTTCGTTTTTATTGTTGCGCTCAACTTGTTTCGTGGATGGGTGATACTTTTGTTGCGCGGTTGGGTGCCACAATCACCGGACAGCACATGCGAACCAAGACATGACGCTCCACACTTTTCTGCGAGACGTGCAGTGACGAGCAAAATGGATCGTCGCCTTGCGTAGGGACCGAGTTCCCGTCGAGATCGAGATTCCGCTTATGCAGCAATCATCTCACAAAAGAGAGCTACGAGCTGAGCTCTAAGCGGACAGAAGGCGGGTAAACTGAGATGTGATGCTGTGTCAACCTTATCCAACTACGTCCACCCACTTCTCGCCCAAATCGGATCGATCGCTTTGATTATGCAGCGAAATCGAAACCAACAGCTAGGCCATCTGGAAACGATGCCAAAAGTTGTGTTTAGCACGCGTGCAGCCCAATTCTGTTTGACCCGCGTGTGAAGATGGAGCGTGGCTACGATACACCAAGCTTATCCAAGTCAAGTGACGACATGCATTTGAACGATTTGCCGTTTGCCTTCGACCCGCGGGTATTGCTTACGAGGGAACTACCCGCAGCCTCATCACCGATCCAGTGGATCCGCCGATATGTGTAGCCAGATGCTGCTTCGTGTACCTAGGTGCCGCTTCAGAGGCAAAATCTGCATCCATTGGTTTGCGAGCGCTCCTAGTTCGATCGGTGGCTGTCGCAGTTGTGTCTGCGCGAAATAGCATACGTTTGCTCGAAGCTTATGACTGTTTTCGAGTAATTTCCTGCTAAAAGGCGTGACCTTTTTTTTTTCTTTTTAACACGCTTGATAACTGCATCAAAAGGAACGTATTTCAGTAGAGTACAGCCTAGGAGACTATATGATTCCAAACAAGATACAAGACATCCATCGATCAACGCGTCACACAGCAGCTACGGATGTCAGACATTGACACTGGCAAAATTCGGGGTGCCGTTTTGTACGTACACTCGTGAAAGGTTTAATTAATAAGGGGAGATCATATATCAAAATAAAAATGACGTTTGTCTATATGAAGGCTACCTCGACGTAGCGAGCGCAAAAACATAAGTACTTCCGGTTTCGACCGTACAATCCCTTTAAGAAACACAGCCTCTTCGAATAGCATGTCGCATTTTGAGAGCAAAGAAAGTAAAAGCGCCCTAACCAAAATCTAGATAATTCTAGCTTGTCCGTGCATCGCTTCTACTTTACTTTTTTTTTTTCTATTGTTTTGAAGTTGATCTGGAGTCCCACCCACGGCAATATTTATGCTTTTGACGGCAAGGCGAAGGCCGCCCTCTTTTTTGCTCTCTCTCTTTCTTTCTCTCATGGTCTTGGTATAGGACTCATATCGAGGGAAAGTGCCCACGATCGTATTTAATTACAAATGTATTTGAAATATTCAGTGTTCAGTGTTCAAATATATTCGTAAAATGCGTCCTAATGTGTAATTACGGTCTTTTTCTCAACGTAGTCCGCACCCGGTGTATAGTGCGCAGGGGCAAATTTGGTGTCAGTAATAAAAGTGCTTGTCGAGATGGTCCGCACGCCGTTCATAGTACGCACTTGGTGCATATCCCGAACGTTAAACTTATCACACACGGCACAACTTGACATATGTCTGCTGTATTAGCTCACAAAGAAGCCTTGTATCATACATAAATTAACATTCACGTCTCATCAGAGTGAACAAACTAGAAAGAAGAAAAAACCTCGTGTAGTCCCCACGTGTACTATAGATAGTACGCACCTCGTGAAATTGACACTTTCACACAGTTATAGTCAGCGGACTATACTGTAAAATAGGGCAATGTTAAAGGCAACATATGGGTCTATCGCTTTCGGGTAAAAACCGATATTTCCCCATTTTTACACCCGGGACATATTTGTTGAAAATCGGGTTAAGCCAATTTTTCTTTGAGCGCAGAAATTAAATCGCACAATTTTCGTGATTATTCTGCCCCGAGGATATTTCTTAGGTAACAAACGGTAGACGTAGAAACGCCTGCGCTAGCTCCAGACTTCGGAAACGGACTTCGATTCTGTTGACTTCAGGGAACTGCGGTGACATAAATCGATCCCCAAAATGTCGTTTTTAAGGCTATCGTGAAATATCCTTTGCCCTTCTTTTACTTCAGTTTCAACCAGCGAAAAAATAAAAAAAAGGAAGGATGCGAAACTACACTCAACATTTTGTTTTGAAAGAAAAAGTAGATATTTTGTTCGTGTCGAACGTGAGTGATATTGTTGTGTACTTAGCATATCCTCCTTGACTGTGAACGCTTTCGACATGAAAGGCGCCGGATGGAGATTCGCCTTCAAATATTAGATGATGGACCCCTGTCTCTGACAAAGTTTTTGGGGCCCTGGCCGACGCGTAAAAAACAAGACAGAACAATGAATATCATTCATGACTTTCTAAAGGACACTAGAATCGTGTATGATTATTAAGTGCGAACGTGCGTCAATTTCAACGGGAATGATTATGTATGTAATTTAGAAAATCGGTGCACGACTCCCAAACGGTCGTCTTATTGGCAATTGTAATTAAATTTGTTTGTAAGGTTTTTTTTGTATGGTTATACTTTATGTGTTTATCTTTATTCTTTTCCTTTTATGTTCTTCCTTTTATTCATATATATTTTCTCTCTCTTTCTCGTTATCGAGTAGCCGGTGTCACTTAAAGAATACCAACATCTCCATAATAAAGAACTTATCTCTCTCTCACATTATTGAGGTATATACATCAAAATCTATCGAAGCACAATTATTATTTTATAAAAAACTGTTTACTTAGAAGCATTCCCAAAAGCTTTCGGCTGGTTCCACAATTTTCAATAGACGTAATAACCGCATTTTGCAGCTTCAGTATTTTCTATGGTATTACCTTCTGGGCTCCAGTTCTTATTACCGCAAATGCAGACAACAAATGAAAGTTGACCATGCACTGGAGGGGACGCATTTGTATGTTTCTGCTGGTTCCTCAAGCTCTATATTGCTCTGACTGACTTGACTCTGCTTCCAAGGAGCATGTATTTACCGGATAGCTGCACCACAAGTGCCAACCCGAGAAAAACTCCAAGCCCCATTTGTCGGGCCCCTTGATATGGCGCGCGTTCCCTTTTGACATACACTGCGAAGTTTATATAGGAGGATCTGCCCGAACAATATAGTTGGAGCTGCGAATAGGGTGTATATCGAAAACACAGACGACTCGCGTCGTTTGGTGGGAAATCACTCTTTTGTACAGTGGTTCCTTTTTGGCACTTTTTGTGCTATGCTTTCACGTACCAGTCTAACTTCGTAGTGACGTTTTGACTCACCGGTCACATTCCAACGGCTGCAGTGACCAATTTAGCTTGGAGTAGCCGGCAGTAGATCGTATTTAAGTAACCGCGTGGTGGCGTTCAGTTTCGAGAACACTAAACATGGCCACGTTTGTTTATTCTGCCGTCGTTCATATTCTAAAAAGCCGTCAATCACACATCTCGTCTTACCCTGTTTATGATCTTCTGCTTTAGGAACAGCTTTGCAAAACGGTAGATGATCTCGAATATGGCAGGGTTGTTTATAACGTAAATTCCTTTGATCCGCATGGGGTAGGAGTCCTGTAAAACAAAGGAAGATTATAGACTGAACTCACCATTAAATAGCTAATCATGTCCTAATTGAAACATTTACCTTTCGTTTCGTGCTCCCTTCAGCTTTATAATAGGAATCAAGCACCTTCGTTCAATTTATTAACTAATTTATGTGTCTTAATTTCACGGATAATAACTTTGTATATGTTTAGACAGCGCCAAGTTAATGGGACGCTGAAGAGTTCTTGAAAAAAAAAAAAAAAAAAAGATTTAGAGCTGAATTCTAGAGTGTTTCTATCTTGTGAATCTGAATGTCACGTTGGTTTTCACCGAAGATGTAACTAAACGCGAGAAAGCACGAAAAATCTTTGACCAGTCGTTACGTCATTCTAGGATGTTTCGGCCACCACGCCGTGTCGATCGCGTGGGCGACGCGTGCAAGCTTGCCAGGTATACTCCCCTGCACTGACACCAGACGCGACGTCATTTTCTCACCTTTTTGGAAATAGTGCCACTAGATAAGCTACGCTTCAGAGTAACGACACTTGGCCACATTGTGTCTTAAAATCATGGTTGCCAGTTATCTGAAGCTTTATATAAAATCACAGGAAACGCTTTTCCGCCCTCCACAAACGTTTAGACAGTTCGCGACTGAGCAAAGCAATATCACATGAGCTTCGTAACACCGAATATAATGCTGAGGAAGTCGCACTTTTGAGGCAGGATGATCGGCAGTTGCGTCTGCTCTGCATACGAGCCAAAATGGCGGCCCCCACAACAATGTCTCGGAACGGAGTGCCGGTACTCTAAGCGCAGCTTATGTAGTGTGGCTCTAGGAAACAGCAAGAGCGCGCGTGCATAGCTTTGATAGGCGCTGAAGATGCGCGAGAGCGGAGATTACGGAAACTCCGGATATGACGTCACGCTCAGGGAAGGAAAGGTTTCAGCGGTACCTTGAAGATGATTTTCTGCAGCCACCGTGCACCGACTTGAAAAGTAATCTGAACATTCGGCATCTCGGAGGTCAAATAAAGATGATTTAGGCGTTTTTCTTGAAATACAGAACCGCTTCAGTTTCCCTTTAATCGGCCCCAATGAGGCTGTAGACGAGGACTTTTGCCAGTGTGCTACGACTGCTAACCTGAGGGATTTTAAAGTGAATCATGCAGTAGTGACACGCGGCCCATCGATATTGAAACGGAGGGGCAATGATGGGAATGGAACCCAGGATGCCTGAGTGTTGCGGCGGAAACTTTCGCTTCACGTGCTCCGAACTGCGGTGTATGACGGCCAACGATCCTCATCCGAAACCGTCCGGAGACACGGAATGTACGACGTGTTTTGAGCTACGCTGGCAGTTCATTTGTGAGCTATTCTGAGCGAGGGGGCCGCGCGAAATTCCCCGTAATTTAGCAGGGAAATTAGTTTAGTCTATATCTATACACTGAGTGAGGTTCATCGCTAAATCTAAGGGGACTTCTGTCCCGCTAAAGTTTGTGTGTTAAATTGTTGCTGTATACATTTTGCCGAATTTTCTTCCCGTTATAAAATCATTTAGCATTTGTATAAATTTCCGAGTCTTGTTCCTGTTTTATTCTAATTCAATTCAATTTCGGGTATATCTTTGTTTGAGTTCCAATATCATGGATACGGGCATATAGCGTCGAAAGATACTTGCAAACAAACGGGAAGGCTCTATACCTGAGCAAGCTGAATGAGCTTCTTGACCGCGGAGGGTGTGTAATGACGAAAGTGCTTCAAACTGAGCCCTTCTAAGTCCAGAATGCCCACGATTCCGGCGATCTGGGTTGTCTCGTCCAGCAGGTAGTAATCGGCGCCCAGAACGCCGATCCTGAAGAGATCGATCACGTCGCACACGTCAGGTTTCCATGCGCCTGAAAGATATAACCGCGAAAACACAGCTCTTTAAAAAAAAGAAAAAGAATTGCGTTGGCGAGTACGTTACCATAGGCAGTGCTCGGCATTCTTCCACTCATTTTCTTAGAAAGTCGGTAGGTGCTCTGCCACCAGCACGCGATCGTTGTCTTCCGCCATGCTTTTGCGCGTGCGACGAAGTATTATCAAAGGCAGAAAGTGCATGTTCGAGGCGCAGCATCTAGCTGCACACTAGCGAGCCCAGGAAAACGTTTGCGAGCCACTGCCTTGCCTCATAATTGGTTCAAAATACAATATTAGACAAATCTGAACAAGTTACCCCAATTGAGAGTCGCAATAATATATATATATATATATATCTATATATATATATATATATATATATATATATATATATATATATATATATATATATATATATATTTATTTACGAAGGTGTTAAATGTTTAAATGTGGTAGTTTCTTTCTGTATTTCAGATAAAAAGAGTTCGAGGAAACATTTTTCAAAAGACGAAGTTGTTTTCTGGTTGGTCCTAGCACCTAATTACAGCCCCTAGGACAAAAAAAAAATAGAAATCGATTATTTTGTCTTAGAGGCCGAGATGCTCTACAGGAAACAGTAATGACGTGACGTCAAATGCAATATGCGGGCAGTACAGTTCGTTCCCAATGGGTTACAGAAGTTTGAAGGCGTAAAATGAGTGCTAGGCAAGCTCACGTCAGAAGCAAAAAAAATAAGGACTGCTTGACTTGCAAGTTACTGTAAAAGACGAAATTTTCGCGAGGACCTAATTTTCGCGAAATCTGCGAATCGATGTCGATTCGCGAAAAATACGTCCCGCGAACAATTCGGGCAATATGTGAACACTACGGAAGCTACACTCGATTCGCAAAAATTAGAACCCGCGAATAATTTTAAATTTCCAGCCTCGGCCCGATTCGCGAAAATTTTGAGCCCGCGAAAATGAAGTCGTTTACAGTATACATGTGACATTACCCCTCTGAAAAGCGCGGAGAAGTTTGCAATTTCGTTTAGCGTGTACCTGTTATTTTTCGTTTTCTCTCTACTGTAAACGACTTAATTTTCGCGGGATCAAATTTTTGCGAATCGGGCCAAAGATGAAAATTTGAAATTATTCGCGGGTTCTAATTTTTGCGAATTGATCGTAGCTTCCGTAGTGTTCACATATTGCCCGAATTGTTCGTGGCACGTATTTTTCGCCTTTGTAGGCGATTCGCGAAATTCGCGAAAATTAGGTTCTCGCGAAAGTTTGGTCGTTTACAGTATCTTGAATTTAGAGATAATACATAGCATGCAGTAAAAATGAAAGCCTGGGTATTTCGAACGTATTAGTGCAAAAGCATTAACTGTCCCATGGAGCGAGGCCGGCGGCGTCGGTAACCGCGAAAAACGCCCCCTAAGTTCTCATTTTTCCATATTCCCATTGGCTGAACGAAATGGCACCTAAAGAGCCATTGGCTTCGACGCGTCATAGTTCCAAGGAACGCCACCCCACAAAGAAACCCTCTTCCTGGCGCTGCGGCCCGCCAACACCTCGTAGAAATACGGCCGTAGTGCTCCGAGTGGTTACGTCACAATGTCGGAGGAGGAAGGCCATGGCGCAACTACGTGAGAAAATATCTGGTATCGGCCCGAAAAAAAAATGAAAGCCGTTTACAACTCCCTGTAACGCGGAATTAGAGCGCAGCTGTTGAGGAGGAAGAGGGAAGGGTACTGAGGGTCACGTGTTCTCGGGGGGGGGGGGGGGTCACGTGACCTTGGGGGGTCACGTGACCTCGGGGGGGGGGGGGGGGTCACGTGAACCAACAGAGAAATTTCCCGCTATATTTAGCGGGGAAATATACCCATAATGCACCGCGCGGTTACGCCGACGGCGACGGCGACGGCGAGGCCGACACCGACGGGACGCCGCCCAAGCCGGAAACGGGCGCCTAAGAGCTGCGCTCTAAAAAATATTTCCTGTCGAGCGGCGCGGTGGTGTTCATGCGCGTTTATCCGACATTAATATACATTTTAAAAGCGCCGTCCTGTGCAATTTAATATATGTATAATATAAACGTCACATACCACGCGTTACCAAGCTTGAAAGTACCAAATTTATATTTATGATTATCTCCGTAACCGCGGGACTAAGCGTAGTGCCGCAGCTCCCCACACTTTTCGAATGAACCGACTCCGATGCGACATTTTCTTCCCTCATACGAGCTCGGATTCTGGTTAATTTACGTTGTGTGTGAACTGCTGACTGTCTGAAAAGGAACGCTGAGACATTTCAGAAGGAAAGAGAACCGAAAAAAATCCACTCATCGCCACAGGGAGCGCACACAAGCAAGAGATGGGTCGACAGCGTTAAGCCTTTCGTCCCACAATGCTGCCTGTGCTTTCCTGTGTGGTTCTTTTCATACATGTTTCCTTCTTCCCGTCGTTTTTCTGTCGTCACTACGGCCTCGGGTAGTTGTTTTTGTGTGTTCGCTTGATACTACGGCATTTACGTGGATTCGCGGAACAAGTCCTGCTACGGTTTGAGTGACATGTGCGGCAACTAGCCAACGATGACACTGGTCGATTATCGATAGACCTCTCTTTCGACAAAGAGACTTCTTGGAGTTCGTGTTCAAATTTTTTCGTGGCGGATATTGCGGGACGTATGGATACAATCGACAGGTTAGAAACAACTTATTTACTCGCTTTCTTGGTCATGTAGGACGCAAGTAAAGTGCTGCAGTTGATTTTCCTTAAATCTCGTGATAGAATGAAATTTTGTTCTTCGTCGTCATCCGTATGCTGTTGCGTCGACATTTGTAAATATGCGTGGTAATATCCTAGTTTTTACTAGAAGGTGAATAACAAGTTTGAGTGACCATTGAAAGTGCGTTGTTTGTGCTTATGTGTATATGTATTTCTTTATACTAATGTTATTTTATCGCCTTTACCGCGTTTATACTAGAATCATAACTGCATATTGAGGTAATAGTATTATTGTATACAAAGTAAGATATATATTGTCCTATGGCACCTCGAGCCCATAGGGAGAAGTTAATTAGTTGTCTAAATTGTAAGTGTAGTACCCCTGCCACACGGAAAAGTAATATATTTTCATTAACTGATATGGAAGTTAATCATCTCGCGGTCTTGAGTGAATATACGAGCGTCGCAAGCTGATTTGTCGACCCCATATCATTCGATCGAAATCACACTAATTTTGCCATGCGGCCGAGGTATAATGCAACAATTCAGTAGCTGCATGCGATACCATCGCTTACATAATCGTAAGTGACACTTCTCTATCCGTGTCCGCGTTGACTACGTCTACCTGATTTTTAACTCTGATCTGTTTTTCTGTGTCCAAGCACTGCGTGTCTCGCCATTCTGCCGAAGTATTTCTGTACGAAATATGCATTCCTACAGCAATGATTGCGTGACTCAATGTTTTCGACTTAAAACAACCACATTTTTCTATAGACGTCTTATACGCATACCTGGTGCCATTTCGTACCGATTATTTAGTGGTGTAATGTTTTGCCCATCTAATAAAATGTTTTCTAGACCCGTTGCTACGTTCAACTTCCATATTAGCTAATAAGACACGCGTATGTGACCAAAAGCGCGTTACGACGGTCGATCCACGCGAGCTGTCTTCGCTACGAAGCGCGTTCCCGATGGCCTTCCTTCGCGACGTCACGAGAAGAGCTCTACGGCCTTCTTCTCGAGGAGGTGTTGGGCTCGCGCGCCAGTAAAAGGGAGAGGGTGGCACGCGCGCGGCCGCCGCTCTCTTCCCCGTATCGGGTCACGTGTCAGGCGTGACCGGAGGGAGGGGGAGGAGGAGCGGTTATTTCTCGCTCCCTCTCCCGGTGCACTGCTGTGTCACGTGCAGACTGAAAAAGTAATCCGTTACAAGTAACGGATTATTTGTAATCCGTTACTTTTTCAAGTAATTTTGTAATTGCCACGTTACTTTTCTGGGGCAGTAATTTGTAATGTAATTTCGTTACAATTCTTGGTGCCAGATTACTTCAATTACTGGTCACTTTTTTTTTATTTAATATGAACATAATACAGAAAGTGGAGTAGGCGATTTAGCAGCATAAAACCTGGAAAGCTAAAAAAAATATATATATTACCATCGTGAAGAGGGGTACAACTGAAGATAAAACACGATTTTTTGTATGACCGGTCACTAGAGCCACTCGAGAAATATTCGAAAAACAAAGATCAAGAAGACAACGCCGAGAGGCTCTGCCTCTTTCCATCGCCTTTCATCGTGTTTAGCTTCTCCTGAGTACGAGAAATGAAAAGTAGTATTGCAGAATTTTTTTTTTTAAACATCAAGATTGCTTTTATTGTTTTCTTAATGAGTGTACGGGAAAAGTAACGTGGAAGTAATTTGTAACGTAACGAGTAAAGTAATCCGTTACTTTTCAGCGAAAGTAATTTGTAACGGTAATCCATTACATTTGAGGCTCGCTAATTTGTAACTGCGATTCATTACATGTTTTCAAGTAACGGGCACAAGCCTGGTCACGTATTCTACGCACTGCTTTCAGCCATGTCGCGCCGCCCGGCCGGCCTATGTGGAGGACACCGGGGCGCGCTGCTTTTAGGAATGATCGGCGTGTGGGAATGCTTTTGTACTTCTGCGCGTAAGCACCCTGAAGTGTCCCCCTGTAATTTTATTCTTGGGTAGCTCGAAAAACCGCCACTTCCCCCCTTAAACGTGTGCTGCTTCTTCCGTGTGTGTGTGTGTGCTTGTTTGTGTGTGTGCGTGCGTGCGTGCGTGCGTGTGTGTGTGCGTGTGTGTGTGCGTGCGCGTGTGTGTGCGCGCGTGTGTTTGAGCGTGTGTGTGTCTGTGTGTTTGTGTGTGTGTGTTTATTTTACACAGCTGCCGACTGCACAGAATATCAGTGAGAGAGTAATTTAATATACCAGAACATAACCAATTGACGTGTTCTCTTCCACTGGGTAGCATGAGTGCGTACCTCTCCAAGGCCCGAACTATTCATAGCAAGTCACACTATGTGATTATATAACGATTTCTCAATAATTTCTATTTATTTATGACCATGTTTCTCTATGTAGGTGAAATATTAATACTAAGCGACAACCTACACGTAGACGTTTTGCGGCAGCTGTGCATGCATGGGCACTGCCATAACCGACCTTCAGTTTTTTTTTTTTTTTTTTTCTCCGTTTACGTCACGTTACTATTACCAGAGCAGGACAGGTCATTCGCGATTCCAGCGAAATCAACGCCGCGTAGCCGCATTGCCGAGAGGCTCAGGAGAGGACGTCGTTTCGACCCTGTCGTCTGCTATCGCGGCTTGGTTCTCGTAGGCAGCCTAGAAACAAACATCGTTTCCAGTAATTATTTTTATGATTCCGCCGTGTCATTCCTACGCACTGACTCGAAGAAGGTTTCTGCCGTCAAAAAATCGCTTTGCTTTCATATGTAACAATGATTTTACGCTGCAGTGCAGGGATTTGTGCTGGTCTGCGTGCTGAACGACGAAAACGGCCTCCTTTCGTCCGCCATTTTGCCTGAGCAGCGCGCCCTCTATAGTTCGCTGGAGTCGCGAATTGCCATGTTAGATTCTACTGTGTCCTTCTCGTATAGACTTCTGCAGAGACTCGCCATCACCCGCTTCGGTGGCTTTGCGTCTCCGTAAGACAAGAGGAGGTCAGCAATGGCGGCCGTAGTCTTGCGCGCGTGTGAAATACATCAACTTTCTTTACAAAAGTGCCTGATGTACCGCCTAATTTCTCAAAAGTTGGGTTGCGTACGGGACTTACCAAACTTCAGGATAGCCACTAGCCTTCCCAGGTGATCCCTTTCGTCGAGTACCACCGCCAACTTGTTTCGGCGGAACACCGCATCGAACATGACCCGAGACGGCCGCAGATCCTCGAAGATGTCCCGGTGCAGTTTTCTAACGCGGAAGTACTTCCGAATCGTGCTGAAGGCCTCTTCCACGCTGTATTTCCGGGCACGCAGGAACTTCACCAGGAAAGCGTCGTCGGAGGGACACCTGAGATCAGGTTCTCCTGCGAAATTTGAGAGACGACACAGTTTATTCGTGTGCAAATCCTCGCTGTAACCCCACTCCAAAAAACTAACAGCCCAATTCAGATACCTTCAAAAAGGGCCTCAGTTATGTTCAGCGACAGTTTTTATGACAACGAATGAGTTGAAGGAGCCGATTCGGCCTTTTTCTGTGTCTGCGGGGCACTCATATGGCACTCATTACAAGTAATCACATTACGTGTAATTCATTATTATGTTTTAATTCTTTAGTAGTCATACGAATGCATTTATTAGAAAGTAATCACAAGAGCAATGTAATTACTTTTTGAAGTGCTAAAATCACTTGTAACTTTTACTACTTTTTTCTCCTCTTTCTATCGGCGCCTACAACGGTTAATCCAGCTGAACTACGAAAATGGAGAGAAAGGAGTAAAGACAAGCGATCGCTGGTTTTTACTCCTGTCTCTCTATTTTACTCCTTTCTCCCTATTTTCGTAGTTCAGCTGGTTTAACCGTTGTAATATGTACCACCAACTAGCTCAGCTTCTGCCCCGTGTTAGCTATCGACGCCCTTCATATATATACGTAATTCCTACCAAGAAATTTTCTAACCAAATCTCCAACAGGAGGATGGATTATCGGGGTATGTTAAGAAAGTAGTTAATAGAGAGTTTTAGGGAACGGTTTTTACACGTCCGATACGGTACAATGGGCCCTCCGGTACGCAATGTGCATATGGGAGTGTACTGTGGTGGCGCATGCACATGGAGAACCCACCGAAATGTATGGGATGTGCAAAAACGGTACCCTAAAACTCTCTTATAACTCGGTGATTCGGATCCAAAAATTGACCGTACGAAAAACCCGTTTTGAAACCGGTACCAATATCTGCCGTTTTGAACATTTGAAGTAACTGAAGACGTAATGGATACTGTTTCAAATAAAGGCCAATTAATTTTCTTCCCAACTAATCGAGTGATCTAGTTGAAATCTTTTTTTAATCCATGAGTAATTGTAGTTGTTATCCATTCCCTTTTCTCGAGTAACGCGTGCAAGACATGGTCTGCGGTCCCCGAAAGCTTTACATCATCATAGCTCAACCTGATATATAACAGACCCGAAATAGGAGACCACAAAGTTCGCATTACATCCCTATAGTTCGAGCCAAGCCACTCTCAACACCTGGCAGGCACGCCAAAAGAAACATAGGTGACTGTTACAGCTCACGTTGTCCGCAATGCTACACACTAAGAAAATTCGAACGTCAGCTTTCCCGCAAAGAACTCGGAAGACCCAATCGGTACAATCGACGTTGGGAGGCTCTGCAGATGAATAAATTGAAAATGTGCTGAGATCTGATAAAAAAAGAAAAAACAGGTTTGTGATTTGACTCTGAGCATGGCGAAGCGTTATGTTGGTGAGTTTTAGTAGATCGGTCGTATACCTCCGATAACAATAACCGATAGTCCGCCGACGCCTTTGAGCGTGCATCGCGTCGTTGTCGGGTGTTTCCGGAGGTATCGAACGATCATCTAAAACTCCCAGTTGAGTGTCACAGCGCAGATAGTTTTTTTTTTTTGGTTCGACGATAGTTTAAGCCTTGTAATTCTCCGAGCTTCCTTCGTAGTTTGCAGCGATTGACTCCCCCCAAGTGCTTTGCAGCAAAGTAGACACTGCAGATTTTGAAAAATGTAGGGCTTTATATGTTTTGTGGAAGGCAGACAACCTGTGTAGTTCCCTTCTCAACCAAGTAACGAGGTTAGCGAAAGAGGGAAATTGAAAGATGGCTCCGCAAGCTCAGAAACTTCGCAAAACACAAAAGTTGGTTTGGTTTCAGATTGCAGGGGCCATTAGAGATAAAGTAGTCACGTTTTCAGAATTGATAGAGTAGTTTGTGGTGCATAACACAAAGATACACCCTCTTTATGCCAACAATGACACGGTTCCAGACTCGCGAGTCTAGCAAGCAATTCTTCGCTTTTAATTATAAATTTTTCAGTATCTTGTATTTGCTACAGTGAGCGGTGCCATCTGACACATCCTTGCGAAGACAATATTCCAAATATGCTCAATTTCAGCATGACATCAGTTGGTCCAGTTTTCTCTTCAGGATGGAAACCACTATGCTCGGGTTTTCGAGCACTTAAATACGCTTTAAATACAACTTTACTTTAAATTGTAATATTTTAGTTGGGCATGGTCCCACTGTCAAATATATCCTTCAATATTAGCCGGAATATTTTTCCCTCTATTTAAAAGCTATTCAGTGACTTGTTGTGCTTACGCCTGACACTTCCACGACCTAACTAAAATAGGTCACAAATTTCTAAATAAACATATTGAACTGGCTCGACTTCCTGGGTTTGAAATGTCACCCGCGTATTATCTTAATCACAGTTAGTTGGAACACGGAAGCGCGTGGTTGAATAGAATGATCGGTGGATACAACTGAACGTTTTTAATCAGGCGGCGGCTTACGCAACCTAGCCAAAACTAACGCCCCGGTGTGCAACTGCAGCACATCCGCGTTGCTGCAGTTGCAGTTTTGCACCGGGCCGTTAGAGTGCACTGATAGTACACGATGGCACGCGCTCCCGTGTTCCAGCTGACTGTGATTAAGATAGCACTAAGGTGCTTCATTTGTGATTCACTTGTGCCAATATAGCATTTACCGTTTATGAGGTTCCGCAGCTCTTGAACTTTGTCCCTCTTCAGCTGTTGTGTTTCTCCAAGCTCCTCGTATGCCAATTTATGGAGGTCAATGGGCGAGCTGCCGCTAGCGGGTGCTTCTGTTGACCCTGATTCCAGTCTTGACATCACCACAGTCGTGGCTCTGTGAACGATAGTTGCATTTTATCGCAACAAATCCTTCGTAACTGATTCGTTCGTTGCGATATACACTTTTCAAAACACCATCAAGCAACATTGGCGGTTCCCATTTCTAGGGTACAAAGCCTGGTACTAAATCCGAGTCCTTGCCGAATGCTGACACGGCACTCGTTTTCACTGCATTCTCGGAATAGGATGTCAAGCAATTGCGGGCTCGTACATTTGGCGCAGCAACTTCCAGATGGCGAGCACTTTTGAAACTGGTTTATTACAGAGAACTCCCCACGCCGTTACAATCACAGCGAGTCGTCCGTTAGAATTATATATGATGAGACAACGGAAGAGATTACAGTGAATCCTCAGTAACTGTCTTGCTAAGGGAGGTGCGCTGGTTAACATGTCTTCATCATGCGACCAAAAAGTAGAGCCCCACTTAAATAGTGCTTTTCGTTGTTGTTGTTTTTTTTTTTTTTTTTTTTTTATCGGACCCAAATGCGCAGGCTATATTATCATCATCGTCATTATCATAACCCTTTATTTGTGCCCATAACCAACCAATAATGGTCTGCAATGTGGCACAGTGAAAGAGTTGTACAGAGGTAGAACGTGCTGAGCAATACTTATCTAAAAATGCAAATAACAGACAAACCAGCATGCAACAAAACACGACAGTGCATTGCTAACGACGGAAAATAATCTCATCTAATTGTCTATTTTACGTAGTTATCAAAAATATTAAATTTTCATGCCCAAGATTGTTTACACATATCTGCATCCTTGTTGTTGGTGATATCATATGTTGACTGTGGGGATAAAAAGTGAGAGCTCTCCTATTTGAGCGAGCAGGTACGTTCAAATTCACTGTGCATAAAAATGTTGAGTCAATGGCCCCGTGAAGTATTCTATGTAAAAAGGCAACATACACATGAGAAACAGACACTGTCGGCCAGATTTTTCAAGCAGCAGCTCATTGTTGTAAAATACCGACGGCCAAGGTATTTGTCCTATATTATACGTACTAGGCATCTTTTAACTGACTCTATTTTGACTGCATCATGTACAGTGAGCGAATTCCACACTACCCAGCCAAAATCTAGTCTAGATCTGACAATAAAACAGAATGAACGAAGGAAGCAAGCATAGTTTACAAACCTTCTAGTTAATCGAGTAAGCCCTCCCGGTAATATGAATACATAACACATTTTATCAGAACCAAAATTATCCTTTATTTTTGTATATTTAAAGCTTACATAACTTTTTCGTTGCTGGTGTTTGTAGAAACTAAACCTATGTAGTCCCTCCGCCTACATTTCGAGCAGAAAACAATCTCCTAAGTTGATATTAGCAGCAACAGCGCGTTACAAGACAGAGAGAGATAGAGAGAATAAACGTTCTATTTACACCAGCTATACAGGGTGCTTCACGAAAGGTGGACAAATTCGATATTGCGAAAACTACGCGTCGCAAGGAAAAAAGGCTTGTGTCGTTTTGGTCCTGGGCCGGGGGCCTATTTAGGAAAATTAATAAAGTCCGGGATAATTAAGTTGTTAATTATTTTGCGTAATAGACTTTTTTTAAATTGTGTTTAAGGGCATGGTTTTAATTAGAAAATTGTTCAGCATCATCGAAAAATGCTAAATTAACAAATTGCAGAACGATAGAAGGCACACGAAGCATTTTACGGCTTTCTCAAAAACCGCACAAATTTGACGGGTTTTTAAGTTTCGGTTTGCTATCGGAGCGCATCTCGGCCTCAACGGCACCGCGACCCCGTGGAGGAATAGTGCAACCAGCCTCTGCTGCGTCGCGCGAGAACAGCGCAGCAGAGGTCTCGTGGGGAGGGGAGAGAGGGGGGGGGGGGGTCACGTGATCTCACGGTTACGCCGACGCCGCTCAAGCCGGAAACGGGCGCCTAAGAGCTGCGCTCTAAAAAGAAGATCAGTCGTTGACTTACAAAAAAGTCGACGTCCGGCTTTCACTGCCCTCTGGGTATTCAGAACGTCCACAGATCCTTCACAGAGCGTTGTTGAGCCGCAGCTTTGCGATGCACTAGCGTGAGATGGCAGCGAGGCAACTGCTAACCCACGCGAAAAAGTACATTGCTTCACATAATCTACTGAAAGTTTTATCCTCGCTTTTGCCTGTTTTGATATGGCGTCAACGTGTTATCAAGATCCCGTGCACGAAGGTCAAAGAACTCGTATCGTCGTGCACGCGGGGAGCCGGGCAGCAATGGTTGTGAAATCGCTGCGACTACTATCAGGGGTAAATTTATTTATTGATCAGAAGAGATAAGCCGGAATATCGCACTGCTCAAAATAAAATGAGGACAGCCTAGCCGACATTGAAACTGTTTGTTCTCTCATCTTTATAAAGGGCAACTCTTTTCCAAAGTCTGAATTGAAACAAGTCCCTGTTATCGCTTTGGTGGAAAAAAGTGTAGCCATTGCCAAAATAAATATGACGTCAAGGAGACCATTGTTGTAGCAACAGAGCGTCATAAACAAGGGCGAAAGGTGAAGACAATAGAAGGGACCCAAACACAGCACCTTCCCCTTTAGTTCTTGTTTATAACGCGCCGTTGCTACTAACATGAGCTCGTATCACAAACTCGCCCAAGTCAAGGAGAAGTCGCGAGCCCAGCTAAACCTGATGTCAAAACATGCAATCATCAACCTCTCAGCAGAGAGCCAGTGGGTTAGCTGTTACAGAAGCAATCCTGGGCAACGCGTGGCATTCTGGCGTCACTTTCGTGGAGCCATTTCTGTTCTCGTGCTTTTTGACGTGGTCTTCGCCAGCGATCAATGCTTCTCGCACTTCCAGAATGTTTTCATATGTTTTAGCATTTGTTGCGAGTCCTTGGTACAAGGCTTCTTTTTTTTTATCTCTTTTTTTTTTTTTGCATACATATATATGAGCTCTTCTGCGCGTTTTGAAAAATAATCGAAGATGAACGTGAAAGTTCCCGTTATTTGCCGGATAGACTTCCTAATGCCATGGACTCCGAACACCATACCGAAGCTCGGCTTTTTATCAATTTAGGCCATCCGCAGAAAGCGCCCATTTGAAAGGCTGTGCTTTGTCGTCCATGTTTACGTTTCGCCCACCCGTTCTTCCAGCGTGTGGACAACATACACGCGCTGCATGCCACGCGACAAGCAACCCCGCCCGTCATATACACCTTTCCAAAAAACACTCCACCCCAGGGGCAAAAAACAGTTTTCGAGCCCACTCACTGAGTTTGAGGCTAGACTCTCGCCGGCGTCCCTCCTAACCCTAACCGAGTGGACTGTGATTTCAACAGGCGCAGCCTGCGTAGGCGCAGTTTCAAACACTGCTGGCGTCTAAATTCTCGTGTTTTCCCGCTATATTTTGTGTTTCATGGTAAATGTATGTTCCCGAGGACATTGAGAAAGCATTGTGCCACATTTGAAAAAAAAAAAAAAAGCAAAAAAAAAAAAAAGCTGTAAACTATTTTTGTTGGGTACGCGCGCGACAGAAGGAATGCGACTGGAATGTATAGTTTTTTCTTACGATAAGTTTTGACGGCGCCGCAAGATTCGCCGCATGTGAAACGACAAAGCGCTTTGCTGTCAAAAATAAATTGCAACAGAAGAGGGCCGAAAGTCATGCATTTTTCACGCTCACAAATAACGTGTTTACCGATGGACAGGACACCGACATACAATTGAGGAAGTGTTAACATCCGAACAATATATCGTACGTACCACACAATGCAGCGTTATCCGAAAAGAATTTATTTGAGAAAGATCTCAAATAACACAGTCTCAGTCGACGACAGTCACATCTTGACGATCGGACGGAATCTGAGATGACTTCGTTTTGGGGCACGTTTTGGGGAGAGCTTCCTTTTTTCACAACCGCACCAAGGCAAAGAAACAAACGCGACTGACCCGTTTCTCACCCCAACCCGGTCCACTATTTTTGGAGATGACTGAGGATCCTACGCGGATTATCTCTGGGAGGGGGGAGGACAATGTTCGCAAAATCGCGTCGAGGGTCGTCCGACGTCCTTCACCTCCTTCGTTTCCCGTGAATGTCGAGCCGAAAAACTTGAATGGCAGGCACTTACCAGCCTTATTTCTCACAATGGAAGATGACACAAAAAGAGTACGCAGCAGGCATAAAAAAAATTTAGTGGAAACTTTCAAGAGGAGCGAGAAAACGTCGAATGCAAAACCGCAAAAACGTATGTAGAGAACCGCGCTGAGCGGGTCTTCACAGTCCCAGAGAATGGCAGAAAATTTCCAGCTAATAGAGGGCGCGAGACTCGCACCCGCCGCATCAGCATCAGCAACATGGTGGCGGATTAGGAGCGTTTTTTGGAAAGGTGTATATGTTTTCCGGCAAAAAACATCAACCATAAATAAACGGAAAAAAACAAATCCCACGCATAATACGCAACAAGTCCAGGACACCATCGCGCAAGCGGCTGCACTTTGCGGGAAGCTGACGTGATGACAACAGTTTAACAGCGCTTCAGAACAAAACAACGCAAAAACGAGGACAAAATAAAAGGTAACCGACAGGACACACTGCTGCGTCCTTTTACTTTGTCCTTGCCAGCGCTGTGTCCTGTCCGTTACCTTGTACTTAGTTATCGTCTTTGCGCTGTTTTGTTTCAAATTATCTCTGCATACCAACCAGCCCAAACTTCTAGCTTTCATTTCTTAATCCACTAGGGGATATAGTCACAGGAAACGTAGGAAACACAAAGCGTTGCTTGCTATGTTAACGCTTCTTGCTTCGTGATTGGTTACTTGGTGTCCTTATCGCCTAATGCAGCAATCCTATTGGCCGTGGGGAGATAATGATATGCAAGGGACTCGCCACACGTTGAATTTCCTTAAGGAAAACTGAAGCGGTGTTGTATTCGAGGAAAAACATTTTCACCGTCTTCATTGAGGCTCCATCATCACAAATATCAACATTATTTTTTTAATTTGGTGCGCGGACGCTGCAGAAATTATTCTTAAAAGCACCGCTGAGGCCCATCCTTTCCGGGTCGTGACGTGATATGAGTTTTCGGAATCTACGCTCTCGTGCGTTCACAGCGCCCATCAGAGCTTTTTACGCTCACTCTTCCGATTTTAAAGAAAAGTCAGAAAGAGATGTCACGACTCGCGTCGGTGCGGGGGAATATATACCTGGCACGCTAGCGATTGCGCGCGCTGCCCGCACGAAAGACACGCGATTGGTAGCCCGAAGATATTAGTATGACGTCAGAACTGGTTGGAGGTTTTTCGTGTTTTCTTGCATTTAGTTACATCTTCGGGGAAAACGAATGTGGTATTCAGATTCATAGAATAAAAATACGCCAAAGTTTACCTCTAACTCTTTCTTTTTCAAGAGGTGTTTCAGGTTCATATTAAATTATCACTGACCATTAAGCTTCTGAATTCCGCAGGGTGCCTAAAACAATTTACAGTGTTCTTTTTGTTTCATCTTAAAAATAAACTATGCGTCGCCTAATGTCGGGACTAGACTGCTTATACATCATACAAAAGAGGGTCTGCCGAGATCCGTGCTTCGTATGCGGCATGGCAAAGTGTTCAAAGAGGAAACTTGGCACGCGGCATTCGAACCGCTCTTATCTCGGTGACTTGGGTTTGACTTCTGTCTTTTGTACGATGTATGAGCAGTGGCGCTAACGCGGTCCGAACAAGGTGCCAAAGTTTCAAAGCTAAACTTTCTCTTATTCAAAAGTTATAACCGATTCTCTTGAATTTTCAATAGGACCATGGCGGCCGCCAGAGCTCACGTATACGCGGGGCTGAATTGCGCCAGGTATCGCAGACGAGCAAAAAACGGGCCCCGTTTCTCCATTGAAATTTTTTAAAAACTCAAGTATAACTCACGATTGAGATAACGGTTATTTCTGAAACTTTGGCATCTTGTTCGAACCGCAAGCGGTACATTTGGGCGATGTGGCGCAAGCGCTACATTCGTGGACGTTCAGTGATCTGCGTAGTTAATTTTTGCGCCGGAAAAAAATATTGTGAATTTTCTCGTAGGACACGCTGCACATTCCTTATCCAGAAGCAAAAAAAGAAACGAGTTTTTGTTGGACATTGACGCCACAGTCGTGTTACACATATAACCTGCGTTTGCCGACTGTAGAAGACGTAGAAAATCTATCGCTTGGGCTCTATAATTTGTGACGTGTTTCGTGCAGCCACGACAGCTTCGCTGTCAACACTATTACAACAATTAACTTTTTTTAATGTTCATGCAATTAATGAAAAAGTGCAATCGAGGTGGACAAGAATTTCGAAAGTAATCCCTTGATAGAGGGACAAGGGGGACAAAGGACAAACACAGATGCCCAAACAAAGCTAGGTGATTGCTGTGCACCAGTCATCTATAGCTGTGTTTGCAGATTTGTATTTTTTTCCTTAGTCCCCCCTGTTCCCCTTCTCCAGGGATTTTTTTCATCCTAACTGTTTTGTTTTATTCAGCGAGGTAGAACTCTTTTACACGCTTATTTTTAGTGGGAGTACACACTAGTCATTCTTACTCGTAGTGTATATCTACAAAATGAATAATGAAAAAAAAAAAAGTTACTCGAATTCGTTATATAAAATGATTGTGGGACCGAGCATGCTGAATGTGGCGCGGTGGTGGTGCCTGAAAACGCGTCTGCGACTGGTGTTTTTAGCGTCCTATTTCTCCCTCTCCCGACCATACAATAAAAACGGTCCCGAAGGGGCGTCAGATGACGTCGCAAAAGACGGAGTGTCATGTTGTCGGATGTCGAGATCCTGTTGGTTGGTGGTACAAGTTCCGGTAGGAAGCACGAGCGAACGCGAGTGTCGCTGCTGTCGTCACGGTGTCCCAACTTCTGGCTCCCGAAGCTTTCGTGGACTGCCACACTGAAGAGCGACCCGCAGCAGAACAGGCGTCTGCCACATCCACATCCGACGCTGTGACACCGCCAAGATCGGGGCCGGCGACGACACTCGCATGACGTCACGAGGCAGATGTCGATAGAGGGACCACCTTTTTTTAGACGTGGTACACACACACAGCAGCCGGAGACACGTTCCAGGCACCATAGCGGTA